AGGATCAAATAAATACTGTATATATCCACAAGGAATGTTATCTTGGAAAACAAGACAAAAATGGATAGGTTACTCTGATTGGCAGTCAACTCTTCTTGGTCTCCTTTCCTTTCCTCATCTCCCACCCCACCCCTTTTCTTTCCATCTGGATTTTGGACAATCGAGAATAAAAATGCAATTGTTGAGTTCTTGGTGTTCCCAGAATTTTGTTGTTTTCTTGAAACTGTTTTGCCACCAAACTAGGTAACAACATCAGGATGCACTGTAGTGATGGCAACACCTAGAATTCAACATTATAGGAAGACTACCAGATTAGAAGTGTATAATGATGAAAAAAAATTAGCAGTCTGGTAGCATGTTTACTTTCTAACAAATTTTATTGCCTCATCAACTTTTGTGAGCAGCAGCTCACTTCATCTAATGGATTAAAAAATTATAACCTGACCCTACATGCTTGGCAAGGAGTAAGTATGATGCCCATGGCAAAAAGGAAATTAAATAGGAAGCCAACATATTTTAAAAATGCTTTTATATTTACAGACATATATTTTAAGCTTGTTTAATTGGATTGTTTTTACCAGCTGTGAGCTACCTAGAGTTGTATAGATGAAATGGGTAGCCATACAAATTGAAATAACCGGCCAATGTAATTTATATATGTTCATAATAATGTACATATAAAGAAAGACTTGATAGGTGGATAAAAATGCTAAATCCAGTTTGAACATCTGGCTGACTGGGCGACAAAGCATAATACATTTAATTGTATTGTATATGTATATAGAACAATTGTATATGCATATGATAATTATAATACATTTGTGTATCCCGGTTGCAATGCCAAATCCACGCTAAGCATCTGGCTGACTATGCAACCAACAACAACAATTATTGTGGTATTATAATTGGCATGCTGGATGCCATACCAAAAAATCTTGGATAGCACATAGAAAATTTGCACATTGACAAGTCACTTGGCTTGGATCCACAGACATACTATGCTGATAAATTACAATATCCTAGGTTCTTGGGATGAACTCAATATGAAGGCTGACATTAACTTAAGAACTAGCAGCTGTGATTTCACATTATGATGTATATAATAATAATCAGATAATGCAAAGTATCAGGTGCTAGCAACATTGCAAGGGTACCCTCCTCAGCCACAAAAATTATCTAGCCATATATTCAACAGTTCTTTTCTCTTTTTTAGCTAGCCAACCTATTTCCTGAAATATGGCTACTCCTCGACTTAGGACCACAATTAAGCCCAAAATATATGTTGCTAAGCGAAACATTTGTCAAGTGAGGTTTGCCTCATTTTACGACCTTGCTTTCCATAATTATTAAGTGAATTACTGCTGTTGTTATGTTAGCAAAATGGTTGTTAAGTGAATCTGGCTTCCCCATTGACTTTGCTGGTCAGAAAATCACACTTGACCCCAGGACACTGCAACTGTCATAAATATGAATCAATTGACAAGTGTCTGAATTTTGATCATATGTCATGGGGATGCTGCAATGGTCGTAAGTGTGAAAAACGGTCACATGTCACTATTTTCAGTGCCGCTGTACCTTTGAATGGTCAGTAAAAGAACTGTTGTAAGCTGAGGGCTACCTATATTCAGCTGGCGCGCTTGCTAGTCCCTACAGGGGTTACAAATGATGTTGTAAATCAAGAGTGTGTGTTGTTGTTGTTTAAGTGGAAGAAGCTGCTGCACAACCTGAAAAGCTGTCTATCCATCTGGCTGGCACATTTGGCTCTGGGTCCCAAATCGTGCAAGGCCACTCTGTAAACTATTAAGAACCACGGCCACGATTGGAATTAAAAGGTTATAGGCGAAGTTGAAGGAATCCATCTTTGCTGTGATGGCGATTCCACCATCTTGCCTACTGGCTATACCCAGAGTCGACTATTTTTTTTTGGGGGGGGGGGGAAGCTGAAGAACGTGGGAGCGTCTGGTGCAGTGAGACAAAAATTGCAGAGAACTCTCTTGTAAGAAATGAGTGATTAGTTCACGAGATTAAGAAACAAACAGCCTTTTGAGTTAGCTGCCAGCTGGCTGGCTATGACTGGGTCGAGTAGCTTTTGGGCGGGTGTTATGACAGGGGGGAGAGAAATTGGGTTTCCCTCCAGAGTGGAAAGAAACAGCGGATCAAGAGTCCCAGACAGACCTCCCACGGTCCCTTCCTTGCTCTTCCCTCGCCCAAGCCACCCACCCACTCCTTTTCCAGTTTGTCAAAGCTTCTTCTTCCCTTTGGGAGCAGAACAAAGCTGGTCTGTCTGGATGCCCAGTCTAAACCAAGATGCTCAGCCCTGAGGAGACAGGGCTGACCTGGAATTACTAAGGTTCAACCCAGGAGCTTGTTGAGGCCCTGAGGCCAGAATACATGGTCTGCGGAGGTCAATGAGGCCATCGGCCACAAACCTTCCATTCTCAGTTTGGGGGTCTAGCCAGGATGGCCTATGATGATGTGTGGTTTGTGTCCATGTTAAGTGGAACCGAGTAGAAGCTAAGAGCTGGTTTGGTCTAGTGGTTAAAACACCGGCCTAGAAACCAGGAGACTGTGAGTTCTAGTCCTGCCTTATAAGGGCATGAAAGCTGGATGGGCGATTTGGGGCCAATCAGAAGGAGACTATGAATTCTAGTCCTGCTTTAGGTCGATCACCTGGAGCCAGTAAGCACTGGTCCTAATTTAGGCATGAAAGCCAACTGGGTGACAATCACTAGGAGACTCGGAGATCTAGTCCCACATTAGGGATAAAAGCGGGCTGGGTGGCTTTCTTCGCTCTAGTTTCTCTCTCAGCCTAATCTACCTCACAGATTAAAAGTTCTGTAGAGATTCTCAGTCATCCAGGTCCTGATTGTTCCAAATGTGGTTTTTCAGGAGGCAACTGGACTTCCTTTGTTTTTTTTATTTTTGAAGACATTTCGCTTCTCATCCAAGAAGCTTCTTCAGCTCTGACAGGATAGTGGGGAATGGAAAGATTTATATTCCTTGCAGACAGCTGGTCATTTGCATCCTTTTAGAGGGTCATTGAAGCACTTGGAGATTTATTTGTGTCATCACAACGAGCCAGGAGCACTACTCAGGTGACCTTGAGGATATCTTACCACCAACGTGGAAGTTGACCTTTCCATTCTCTGAAGTGCCAGAAGTGATGCTTTTTCTAAGGTGACAACTGTTGCAAACATGCCAAGTTACTGTATGCTAAATCAGGCTATAATCCATCTTTAGTCTTTGAAGTAATAATTTCTTACGTCTTCTGGCTCCGATGTAGCTTGAGATGCTTTCATCTGAAAATGCAAAGGATGAAGACATGGCTGCAAAACTCTATTTTGTAACCCAGAGGAAATTGCAGTTAATTCTGATAGGAAAAACACTGAGAGAAACTCAGTTCTCTCTTTGGCATAAAGGGTTGGCTGGCAATGCAGACCGCAACTTTATATGTGCAATGCCCAACAGATGAAGTTAAACAAATGTAGCTTACTCCCGCCAAAAACAAATTCTACCATTCAGCAATGGAAATATTTTCAAATATTTACAGAAGGATAAACCCCTTTCACAAAATTCTTCACTAAGCTAATAATTTTTCACTTAAATTTAAACAAATATCAATCTTGTGATAATTTGTTATGAAGTCTCTTCATCAAAGGAAGCCTGGGATTGACAGCTCTATTCAGATTATGACCCAGCTAGGACTAAACATAGCCTTGGATATAGGTAGTCCTCGACTTATGACTGTAATGGAGCCCGGAATTTCCATTATAAGTCATGGCGATCGTAAATCAAAGCATCCATATGACCATCCCTATTTTATGACTTTTTTTTGCAGTGGTCATTAAGCAAACATGGTGGTATTTAGTGAATGTAATGGTTGTTAAGTAAGTCCATTTTCCCCAATGGGCATTTTTGCTGGAAACTGGGAGTAAATGCAGGTTTCCAACAAAAATGATAATAAATTGTGGTCATGTGACTGCAGGATGCTGCAAACAGCCTTAATGTGGTCTGGTTGCTGAGCACTCAAAATGTGATCATGTGACTATGGTGGTGTGTGTGTGTGTGTGAGAGAGAGAGAGAGAGAGAGAGAGAGAGAGAAAGAAATTAGAATCTGGGTAATGACAGGTCTTTCATTCGTTAAACCAGGTGTGTCAAACTCAAGACCCGTGGGCCGGATCTGGGCTTGGGGTGCTTAGATCTGGCCCACAGGGCCACTCTGGAAACAGCAAAGGACCGGCTCACGGTGCCTCTGCCAGCAAAAACGGAGCTCGGGAGGGCTGCCTGTGGCCCTCCCCAGCTCTGTTTAGACTGCGATGGCCTCCTGCAGACCTCTGCCAGTGAAAAAGGAACTTGGCTGCATGAGGGCTGCAGGAGGTCAAGCTGGCCACACCCACACTGGCCACGCCCACCCCAGACATGCCCACTGTCCCCTGAGGTCAAACTTTGCAATGTTTGGAGAACTATGGAAAATGAAGATGAATTTCATTCGAATCAGCAGATAAACTTAGAAAGTATAAGTTAGGTAGAGATATATTAAACGCAAAGCGAACATCTTTATATGTTTCCTCCTTGTGATATACTGTATATCTACATTTAGTTTTGTGTAGTTCTCCACATTTCTGCTTTGCTGCCGACCCTTTTCTCAGTCACAGTGTATTTATTTGTTTAAAACATTAATATAGCCGCCTATTTTCCAATTTCTCTTTCTTTCTTTCTTTCTTTCTTTCTCTTTCTTTCTTTCTTTCTTTCTTTCTTTCTTTCTTTCTTTCTTTCTTTCTTTCTTTCTTTCTTTCTTTCTTCCTTCCTTCCTTCCTTCCTTCCTTCCTTCCTTCCTTTCCTTTCCTTTCCTTTCCTTTCCTTTCCTTCCTTTTTCTTCTTCTTCCTTCTTTCTTTTCTTTTCTTTCTTACTTTTGAATTAATTTGTTTTTTATTTACAGAAAAAAACTTTAATTAAAAAAAAAGGGAGAATTCAGAGTTGCCTCCCTTTCTCCCTACAGGTGGGATCTGCTGGTTACAGCAAGGACGGGAAGCCAAATGCACGATGATTCTCCAGATGGGGGTTACTTGGGAAGAGTGTTGCGGCAACGGAAATACAGACATGGCCTGGTCAAACTACTCACACCCGGACAACAAGATCGGCCTTCTTAGGATCTTGGGCCTTGTGACCTGCCACCCCTGCAAAGGTAGGTTTTGTAACTTGTTTTAAGCACTGAATCCTAATCAATCCTGTGAAGCCAAGAGCAATCTCGCCTAAACTGAAAAATCCCAAGATTTACCCATTACAATATTCTTTCCTTTGCTTCAGGATCTAGACTCTTCCTTTAAGTGGTGGATATCCCAGAATTTTGGTGCACATCAGTGTGTCTCAACCTCAGCAACTTTAAAACAACTTCAACTTTACTTCAACTTCCATAATCCCCAGCCAATACGTAGTAGTCTCTACAAATAATGCTTGCTTAATGACTGCTCAATTAGTGACCATTTGAAGTAGAGGTGGTATTCAGCAGGTTCTGACCGGTTCTGGAGAACTGGTAGCGGAAATTTTGAGTAGTTCAAAGTACCAGCAAATACTGTCTCTGACTGGCCCCGCCCCCATCTATTTTCTGCCTCCTGAGTCCCAGCTGATTGGGTGGGTCTTCTTTGGTTATCCTGCACAGGAGAACGGAACTGGAAAGCAGGTTAGTGGGGTGAGGAGGGAATGGGGATTTTGTAGTAACCTTAGCCTGCCATGCCCACCAAGCCACACCCTGCCCACCAAGCCACGCCCACAGAACCGGTAGTAAAAATTTTTGAATCCCACCACTGATTTGAAGTTATGACAAACGCTGTATTTGCAGCCCACATTTTGAAATCCTGATGGTCACAGACAGACATTCTGACTGTGATCATGTGATCCCATTTTGGGTGCTTGGCAACCGACTCACATTTATGGCCGTTTGCAGCATCCGGCAGTCACGTAACCACGGTTTTTGGCATTTTTACTGGTTCCCGGTGCTTACTTCCGGTTTCCAGCAAAAGCACTGCCCATTGGGTATAATGAATTCATTTAACAACCATCACATTTTTTTAACAATCATGGCATCATTTAAGAACTGCAGTATAGGTTTAATGACTAACAAAAATGGTAATAAAATTGGCCTCCTGCTTAACAACTGCCAAGACTTACAGGTATAATTCTGGGCTTAATTACTGTCGTAAGTTAATATATTTCTTTTGGATTATACAAACAAGTTATAAAATGCATTTCAACCCTGAGCTACTGTACAAATAGTCTCCTTTATAAAAGTAGAACGAGAGCCTTTTGCTCTGCTTTTTGACTAATTAGCTGCATAAGCCACCGGGAAAGACAGCAGGTCCTCACTTAGTGGTTTTTAAACAGAAGCTGGACGTCCACCTATTAAGGGGCAGATTTCTTGCATTAGCAGAAGGTTGGGCTAGAATAGATGACCCTTGAGGACCCCTTCTATAATTAGAAGCTACCTCATTACTAATCTTTTCAAGTGGGTCTTCATTAGCACATCTATATACATATAAAAGCAAAATACCACTCACGCATCATCACAAAATCTCCAGACCCATAAAGCCTACAAACTTGAAATTTGGAACATATCTTCCTCTTGGCTTCTAGGTGCTCACTAAGAAAGGATTTTTTGAAATGACCATCAGAGCATTAGTATTTTCTATATTATTATTAACACGCTCTGATGCTAAGGAGTTCTACTCCCCACCCCACCTGAAAAGAAATCTATTCCAAATGCAAAACACAAGCAGAGGAGAGGAGTTTCAGTTTCAGTTTTATTTGCACAGCCGCAACCAGCTTTAGTACAGACCAGTTAAGCTAAACCACGCCCAGGTTCCTTGCTGTCTCCTTGCTCACACAGCAAATACTGTTTCACTTTCCAAACAGCCCTCAACTCTCTCACACACTGACAGGACACTAGCCAGATGAATACCGATGGATGCTGGTAGGCAGAGGCAGAATTTTTTTCCCTTATTTACCTTCCCAGAAACTAAGTCCAACTACATAGTTTCGTAGCGAAGCACAGGTATCGAGCTAGTTTACCATATTTATTACACCACTCCCCCACTTCAATCCTAATCAGAAAGCAGCCAAATTTCTTTATTTTTAATTTTTGTATTTTTAAACCACCAGCCAATTCCCCCCAGCAATGCTTAGCAGCAATTAACTTCTAAGCTCATTAAACTTTACATTTAATATGTTTTAATTTTAATGATTAAACTTTTAATGTGCAACCTTTTTTTATACTTTTAACTTTATAATTAACTTTTATACAATTAATCTCCTAATTGCTTTATATTATTATAAAATGATTTTATAATGTTGTAAGCCACCCAGAGTCCCTTGTACAATGAGTTGGGAAGTAAATAAATTTAATAAATAAGTAAAAGTACATAGGGCGACACTTCCCTTAAATATGCAAAGGCACTGGGACTATTCCCACAGCTCAGGTTAGTGAAGATTTATTGGAGAAAATAATCAAAGCACAATACAAAATACAATACAATACAGTTACAACGGCACTGAAAAGGGTGACTTTCAGACATATGACCATTACAGCATGGTCCCCTGATCAAAAACACAATGCAGGAGGTAATCCTTGACTTATGACCACACAAATGAGCCCAAAATTTCCATTGCTAAGCAAGGCAGTTGTGAAGTCAATTTGCCCCATTTTGTGATATTTTTTGCCACAGCTGTTACGCAAATCACTCCAGTTGTGAAGTAAACTGTGCGGACATTAAACGAATCAGGCTTTCCCCATTGATGTTGCTTGTGGAAAGCTGGCTGGATGATCACATGACCTTGGGACACTGCAACCATCATAAACAACATGCCAGTTGCCAAGCGCCTGAATGTTGTTCACATGACCATGGAGATGCTGCAAGTGATCATAAGTGTGAAAAATGGTCATAAGCAGAGGTGGTATTCAGCCAGTTCTGACAGGTTCTGGGGAGCCGGACAGTGAAAATTTTGAGTAGTTCAGAGAACCGGCCAATCCCACCTCTGACTGGCCCTGCCTCCATCTATACTCTGCCTCCCATTGAGTCCCAGCTGATTGGCTGGGTCTTCTTTGGTTGCCCTGCACAGGAGAACGGAGCTGGAAAGCAGGTTAGTGGGGTGGGGAGGGAATGGGGATTTTATAGTATCCTCCTCCTGCCCTGCCCATCAAGCCACTCCACGCCCACCAAGCCACACCCACAGAACCGGTAGTAAAAAAAAATTGAATACCACCACTTAGTCCTTAGTCACTTTTCTCAGTGCCATCATTAAGCAAATAGTTGTAAGTTGAGAACTACCTGTAATGGGAACACCACAGGTAAAAACTCCCCAGCTTCCTTTCCCTTTCCCAATTGTTCTCCCTGTCCAATCCAAGCTCTTTGACAAAAGGCTCAGGTTTGTGAATAGGGTATCGCTTGCTGTTACCCGAAAGGAGCTTAATGACAGGAAGTCCTCGACTTACAACAGTTTGTTGGAAGAAATAGCCTCTGGGTTCAGTTCCAAGTGGGGAAGAAAGACGCTGGAAACATGCTTGAAAAGAGGGTTTAATGGTGGACAGGATCACATGCTTTGGGTGAAGAAAGAAGGAAGGGCTGATATTCTGAGAGTGCAATTGTTTTATACCCTCTGTTGCCATTTGAATTGGAGCTTGTATTCTGATTGGTTATCAGATTCCCATGGGGCCATGCAGGAGCAACTCTATAGGCTGTCCTGAGTCCCATGCTTGGTTGAGCCTTGCTGGGTGATGATGTAATGGAAGGGTTTGGGGCAATTCCTATTATAGCTTTACCTGGAGTAGACCTTTGTTATGTAAAATAGACTGGCCTAGGCCAGAGTGATGGTCCATTAGCAAAGGTGGGGGAGCTGAGTTTCTGCCTCTCTGAGTTTCTACTTCTCTTTTTAGGGGAAATATTCTGCCTTTTTAGTATATCCTAAAATATTTCATTTTCCTAGGAGAGGGGTGGGTTTTAACTTCCAACAAGTTCATTTAGCAACTGTTCAAAGTTACAACAGCACTGAAAAAAGTGACTTACGACCACTTTTCACACTTAGGACCATGGCACCATCCCCAGGGTCACTCATGCGATCAAAATTCAGAGGCTTGGCCGTTGACTCGTGTTTTAGAAGAATTAGAATTAGAAGCACTTTATTGTCATTGTACAAGTACAGCGAAACCGTGGATGCACCCCAGCAACTGTTCGCAATACAATAAAACCAAAGCACTTAAAAATGAAGATAAGAAAGATAGACTACCCACATCTCCATTTGCAATTTGAGAGTACAATATCTACGAATACCTGTAGAACTTCCATGGAGGGGTGCAGTCTACCCTGCCACTTTCCCCCCACCTCATTTTTCCCTCCTGCACTCCCAGATCAATTGTCTGGCCAAGATAGGAAAGGCCCCTTTGGCCCTCAGAGATTCTCCCTTCGACTTCATCCCTGTAAACATCACACCAAATGTCCTTAAGCCCCTTAAACTGTTTCAACTCCTACCCTCAAAATGACGCTATAGAGCAAGGGTCTTCAAACTTGGCAAGTTGTGGACTTCAACTCCCAGGATTCTTGAGCTAACATGACTGGAGGAGGAATTCTGGGAGTTGAAGTCCACAAGTTTTAAAACTGTCACGTTTGAAGACCCCTGCTATAGAGCACTGCACACCAGAACAACTAGACACAAGGACAGTTTTCCCCCCGAATGCCACCACTCTGCTAAACAAATAATTCCCTCAACACTGTCCAACTATTTGCAAAGCCTGCACTACTATTACTATTAATCTTCTCATCGCTCCTTATCACCCATCCCCTCCCACTTGTGACTGTATGACTGTAACTTGGTCGCTTGTATCCTTACGATTTATATTGACTGTTTCCTAGCATGATTTGATCACTTATTGTACCCTATGACTATGATTAAGTGTTGTACCTCATGATTCTTGACTCTTGACGAATGTATCTTTTCTTTTATGTACACTGAGAGTATTTGCACAAAGACTAATTCCTTGTGTGCCCAATCACACTTGGCCAATCAAGAATTCTATCTATCTAAAACAAAAAGAGAGAAAGTGGGGGGGAACCCCACAGGACAGCCCTTAACTTGGTTGCCGGCCAACATTCTCCCAGACTTCCAGAAAGGCCCACACACGCCTGCTCCAGACTTCTACGCTTTGGGGAAATGAGATTTGCACACCTCGCCCGTCTGCTTTGAAACCCACCAGACAGTTTTTGCCTGGGGGTTCCCCAGTCACACAATGTACCCATTTGTCTCCCTCCTCCCCTGTAGCCCAACGAGGCATATTTCCCTCATCCACCCCCCCCACGCACACACTCCGGTTTCCCCAGACAGTTTTTCTTCTGACTTGTTTATTTTTGTTTTTTATGCCACGGAAGTGTCAGTGTGTGAAACAGGGAAGCCCATTGTCTGATAAAAAGCTTTCTCTAGGATTCTTTCCAGCCGAAGGTGACTCTCCTTTTTAGACCCCGCTGGCAAAATACAATTGTCTGATCGTGCAGACAAGGGGGTCCTCCTTTGACACAGCTGGGTTGTAACGGAGGGTTTTTCCTGCATTCAGACGTGTTGGAAAGCACTTCATGGGCCTGAGAATGATCCTGATGCAGCTACCAGAGGAGACAGACCTGATCCAGTGGACAAGGGTCAGCCTGTTGGTGGCTGGTCAGTAGTGCAAATTTGTCAAGTATGATGGGCTTGAACCTGGACCAGGAAAACCCAGGTGCAGATGCTTGTGTGAAGGTGGAAAATATCAGTTGCAGTTTTGTTTTCTTCTGAACAGATAGAGAGAAAGAGAGAGAGAATAGAGAATAGAAAATAGACTAGAATAGACTAAAACAGAATAGAATAGAATAGAATAGAATAGAATAGAATAGAATAGAATAG